CTTAGAAAGCCAGAAATACCATATGATCCAGCAATCCCACTCCTAGGAATATATCCTAGAGAAATAAAAGCCGTCACATGAATAAACACATGCACACCTAGGTTTATTGCAGCATTGTTTACAATAACAAAAAGATGGAAACAACCTAGATGCCCATCAACAGAGGAATGGATAAACTATGGTACATACACACAATGGAGTAGCACACAACGATAAGGAACAATGAGGAATCTGCAAACCATCTCACAGCATGGATGAATCTGGAGGGCAGTATGCTGAGTGAAATAAGTCAATCACAAAAGGACAAATATTGTATCAGACCACTATCATAAAAACTCATGAAAAGGTTTACACACAAAAAGAAATAATCTTTGATGGTTATGAGGGGAAGTGGGGATGGAAAAACACTAAATAGACAAGTGGTGACTTTGGTGAAGGGTAGGACAGTACACAGTTCTGGGGAGGGCAGCACAACTTGTACAAGACAGGGTCATGTAGGCTCAGTGGACACATCCAAACTCCCTGAGCGATCGAATTACTGGGCTGGGGGGCTGTGGAGACTGTGGTCTCAGGGAACGTCTAGCTCATTTGGCATAACATAGTTTATAAAGAAAATGTTCTACATTCTACTTTGGTGAGTAGTGTCTGGGGTCTTAAAAGCTTGTCAGCGACCATCTAAAATACTCCACTGGTCTCATCCTGTCGGGAGCAGGGGAGTATGAGGAAAACTGGAGACATGGGGGAAGGATTGGTCTGGGGGACTGGCGGACCGCAACTGCCACAGCCTCCACCAGACTGAGTCCAGTGCAGCTGGATGGTGCCCAGCTGCCACTGCAGACTGCTGTGATGGGGATCACAGTGGAGGTTCCTGGGCAGACCTGGAGAAAAATGTAGAACAACATTCTAACTCGCAAAAGAAAGAACCAGAGTTACTGGCCTGACAGAAACTGGAGAAACCCAGAGGATATAGCCCCTGGACACCCTTTTAGCTCAGTAATGAAGTCACTCCTGGGGTTCGCCCTTCAGCCAAGGATTGGACAGGCCCGTAAAACAAAACGAGAGTAAAAGGGCACACCAGCCCAGGGGCAAGAACTTGAAGGCAGGAGGGGACAGGAAAGCTGGTAATAGGAAACTCAAGGTAAAGGATGAGAGTGTTGACATGTCATGGGTTGGTAACCAATGTCACAAAACAATATGTGTACTGTTTAATGAGAAGCTAGTTTATTCTGTAAACCTTCATCTAAAGTACAATTAAAAAAAAAGATAAAAGAAGGGTGACTAAATGCTCAAAGAGTCAGCATTAAGAACTGCAGTTAGACATTGTGACCCTTGAATTTGGAGCACCATGCTAACTTTTCAGAGTCCAACTCTCTTCCATAATGTGCATTTTTATACTATTTACTAATTTAGTATTTTTATTGGATTTTGTTAGAATCCTATTATAATGAGACGCCTTTAAAGAAATCCCAACAGAACATAGAATAACAATGTTTGTATTCAACTTAATGATGTATTTCTTGGGCTCAAACTGATAATTAGACCTTTTACATTTCATACCATAAATATCTGGTCAGGCTAATCAATTTGGCCATGAAAAAAAGTTTGTAACTTTGCAAATTCTGCCTATATGTATGATGAAAAATCGAAATTTTGTATATTCTACTCAGAAATAGGAGATTGTTGACAATTATAAAGTCCTTTTTTTCAGACAGACTAAGAGATATACCAGACAAAATCATAATTTGGACTATTTTAGCGTGTAATTGCTGATCTTGTTATCTGGCACACAAAGAGTGAGAGTGCATTCTTAGGGAACCTCAGAATCTCTGCGAAGTTAGTTCAAATATTGCATCCCAGGAAACTAAATTGGAGTTGGGTGATCAACAGACCAGAACGTGGAATGGCAGTGTGATATAGGGGAAAGGCCCAGGGATCAGGAGACCAGGGTTCTTGCCCTCCCCTGCCACTATGTGACCCAGTTAAGTTCTCTTCTATGAAAAAATGGGTGGGAAATGGGTTAACTAACCTTCTAGGGTTCTACAAAAAAAAAAAACAAAAAAAAACTGCTGCCATGACTCTACTCTGACTCATGGCAACAACCATGTGTTGAAGGAGTAGCACTGTGCTCCATAGGGTTTTCAATGGCTATGATCTTTTGGAAGCAGATCTTTAGGTCTTTCTTCCGAGGTGCCTCTGGATGGATTCGAACTGTCAACCTTTTATTTAGTAGCAGAGTGCTTAACCATTTGCATTGCTGTCGAGTCGATTCCGACTCATAGCTACCCTAAAGGACAGAGTAGAACTGCCCCACAGGATTTCCAAGAAGCGGCTAGTGGATTCAAACTGCCAATGAAAAGCCAGTTAGCCACCAAGCTCTTAACCACTGTGCTACCAGGGCTCCAGGGTTCTATAGCTCTCAATTATTTCCTCTCCTTGCTTTCTTTTCAAATTAGCATTACTATCTAGGAAACCCCAGAAAAGGAAGAAGGATTAGTGGAGTACTCTGCCCATGAAGTTTATTTTAGATAGGCTCACACAAGACAAGATGACTTCTGAGAACAGAATGAATTGTGAACCATGCTTCAAATTTTAATATAATTGATGGGAGAGGTTCTTTTAGAACAGAGACATAATATTTGTTATAGAAAAGACCCATAGGCCACTTTCCAGGCAGATTATTAATTTAACGTAGGGACAAAGATCTTTCTTAGACCCTTTAAACCAAGCCACTGCAGAACACCAGTATTATTTTAATGCGGAACAAGCTGTTAACATGAAATTATTAAAAATTTGCAATGGGCTAAAAATGTGAAGTACCTAGGATGCTGGGGCAAAACACAGCTTTCAAGTGAAATGTCTTTTATTTTTCTTCTTCTTCATCTTTTCCAGAAGCTACAATGTTTGCAGTATAGTTTGGATAAATTAATCTCTTGTTAATTTTGGAAGCTGCTGAATCAACACATCCTCCTCCACCTCCCTTTCTCAACTTCAGGAAGATGCTGCTGGCGTCTATAACAATCAGAGCAGTATCTGGAGCAATCGACCTGGCTAGCAGTAAGAAGCACTGTCACTCTGAACTGGGAGCTAATGATAGCCTTCCCTGAACTTTGTCCCTCAAACCATTCCAATGGTTTATAAATCCCTTACTGCTTGAGTAATTTCTCTTTTCCTGACTGAAATCTAATACAATTGAAGAAAACAACATTTTAAAACACTAAAGATAAATAACAACCCAAAAAACTTAGTTTTTCTTCAGCTGCAAGTTATAGAAAGCAATTCAAGCTAGCCTAAGAAAAAAAAATAATTTTATTATGAGAATTCAGAGCTTACTCACAGAACCTAAAAATAGAAATGCAATTGGTCCTCAGAAAGTACTTGAACAAACTATTGAAAGGTCAGTGGGAACTTGGGCAATATTCTTATTTAGTGTCTTGTTTCTTTGCCAAAAGATTTTCTTTCCTACCGAGTCCAAACGGTAGAAACCATGGTAACTTTAACACCCAAGTTTTTCATCTCCTCCAGTCAAGAAATCCAACCTGAAAATGAAATCCCTCTGTCCCAAACGTAAATTTCTCAAAAAGAAAAATCTGATTGGTCCAACTTGAATTGCTGTCTTCCCTCCAATCATAGGCTTTGGCAGTGGAGACATATTCAAACAACAATACATAGCTGCTAGAACCACATGAGACGAGTAAGAAGTCTCCAGAGAAAGTAAATAATCAAAGAAAATAGTATCAGGTGTCTTCCACAACTGGGAAAAAAAATTTACACTACATGTGCATGTGACCTGGATGCTATCCTGGGCCACTACAGGCTCACACACAAGGACAGCTAACTGGGATTAAGTAGGAACTGAAATCCAACCTGTTCTTGGTGCCCCAAGCTGATATCCTTGGTGTGGCTGCATTCACTCAGAGGAAGGGGCACCTTTTTAAAACTAGCGTAAAAGTGCCTTTCAATAAGCAGCACTAGCAATGATTTTTAAAAATATATTCAAATGCTTTTTTTTTTCCCCCTACTGCCTGGTATGTAATTTAATCTTTTTTTTTTTTATTTTTTTATTCTGAAGCATCGCTTTGCTCTGTGGAGTAGGTAGACTGTTGTCAAGAATGAAAAGAGGAAGAAAAAGCCAGTTTTCAGATTTTATATAGCAAAATGGGATTTTAAAGACAATAGCTAGAAAAGCCTGACTTTGTTGTGAGAAAAAATTTCAGAACTTTAAAAACCACCTTTTGGAAAGATTAGTCCAAAGGACTAATGGACCACAACTACCATAGCCTCCACCAGACTGAGTCCAACACAACTAGATAGTGCCCGGCTACCACCACCGACTGCTCTGATAGGGATCACAATACAGGGTCCCAGACAGAGCTGAAGAAATATGTAGAACAAAATTCTACCTCACAAAAAAAGACCAGACTTACTGGCCTGATAGAGACTGGAGAAACCCCGAGAGTATGGTCCCCGGACACCCTTTTAGCTCTGTAATGAAGTCACTCCTAAGGTTCACCCTTCCATCAAAGATTAGACAGGCCCATAAAACAGAATGAGACTAAAGGGGCACGCTGAAAGGGGCTGCGTGGAAATTTCACATTCATTGTTTATTGCCAGTAGTAGAGGCCTAGCTTCCTGGGTATTGTGGTATTGTTAATGCCTAGCTTGCATAGTTCACTTTTGCATGCTCCTATGATTTTGATTTGTTTTCCTTCTATCCCCTACCTCTTGCTTTCCCATGACTTTGAAGTTTAACTAAGTTTCTCTTTGAGAGGTAGAACGACCTTGGAGGGTAGAGTACCTCATCTTCGACGTGATAATAACGGGGCAAGATTATCTTCAAGGATTGCCAGGTGCAGAACGTAACCACAGGAAAAAAACTATAATCTTGTCCATATAAAAACTTTCAGTGAGTCTCCAAGGGGAAGACAGGTCTTTTGGGAGCTCATTCCCCTCTGTCTCCTATGTATCAATATACAATAAAACACTCTTGCTGGTTACCTCACCTGTCTCAGTATTGGCTTCTGCGGCAGGTGGCTCTGACCCGCCACTGTGGTAACAACACCAGCCCAGGAGGCAGGAGGGGACAGGAAAGCTGGTAACAGGAAACCTAAGGTGAGAAGGGAGAGTGTTGACATGTTGTGGGGTTGGTAACCAATGTCACAAAACAATATGTGTACTAATTGTTTAATGAGAAGCTAGTTTGTTCTGTAAACCTTGATGAGGGTTTATAGAACAAAAATAATAATAAAAAATCTTATTATCAGTAAATAATTTTTTCTTTAGTTGTAATAATAATAAAAAAAAACCTTTCATATATCAAAAGCTGAGCTAGACAATCAAGTTTTACTATAAGCCAGAGTAGAGACAGGATTCAAGTCTTGAAGAAGAACTAGAGAGCAATTCCAAGACTCAGGGAAGGAGGGGAAAAGCAAGAGAAGAAAAAGAGCAGATGTGAGGGTTTAGGTTCACTGCTCTGGGAAGAAACACCCTAATAAGCTTACGGGACTCTTAGTCGAGGAAGGCTTCCTCCTGGCTTCTCGGTGCATGACCCAGGAAATTGAAAACCCCTTAGAAAGACTCTCCGTTCAGTAAGGGCTAGAGCAACATGGCTGCACCCAGGTGCCAGTTTAGAATGGCTAAGGAGGTTTCTGTGCAAATGGGCCCCAGATAGTGCTTGCATTCCCTAAAGACTGCAGATTTTATGTAAAAACTCAAACTTTCATGCATGTCACAGTGGGACATGTGGAAATGCTAAGAGAACTGATGTCCAAAGAAGACCTGGTGTCAGAACATAAAAGCTGCAGGTTACAAGGATGTTAAAACCAGTGCCCAAGGCAAGAACGATGGATTTCAACAGCTGGTGCTGCCACTGTGACCAAAACAACCAAGCAGCCAGCCACACACCCGTGCCCTCACCACTGATGCTTGGCTCCAGACAAGCAGAGCCACATGGCGCTATGTCTTTTCCTTGACACGGTGGACAGTATAAGAAAGCTTCAATCCCACCCCTGCTCCATGGATATAGAAACTTCCCCTGGATCAATCCCGTCTAGGGAAGGAGAATTGGGAGAGGAGGTATTTTCAAAGAAGAAAGACAAACTGATAGGAGTTTGAACTTAAGGATTGCCAAGGGAGGCATTTTTAAAGTAGGAAGACAGCCTGACAGGGGTGTGAAGGTTTTTGATTATTACCTCTATTACTTTACATGTTATAGGTCTATTCAGATTTTCTGTTTCTTTTGAGACCGTTATGGTAGTTTGGGTCCTTATAGGAATTTATCCATTGCATCTAGATTATCAAATTTGGTGACCTCCAATTTTCATAGAATTCCCTTATAATCATTGCTATTTCTATAAGTTCAGTAGTAATGTCCCTTCTTTCATTCCTGATTTACTAATTAGTCTTCCTTTTTTCTTGGTCAGTCTAGCTAAAGGTTTGTCAATTTTACTGATCTTTTCAAAGAACCAACTTTTGGTTTTGTTGATTTTCTCTATTGTTTCTCTATTCTCTATTGCATTTATTTTCACTCTGATCTTTATTACCTTCCCTTTTCTTACTCTGGGTTTAGTTTGATTTTTTTTTAGTTTCTTAATGTGGAAAGTTAGGTTATTAGTTTAAGATTTTCTTTTTTATATTTTATTGTGGCAAAATACATATAGCCAAAAATTGCCATTTTAACCATTTATAAGTGTACAATTCAGTGACATTAATTACATTCCCCATGTTGTATAACCATCACCATTATCTACTTCCAGAAGTTTTTTATCACCTCGAACAAAAATTCGGTACCCTTTAATCAATAACTCCCATCTCCCCCTAGCCCCAGTTCCCAGTAACCAGTAATAAACTTTGGTCTCTATATATTTGTCTATTCTATATATTTCATATAAGTGGGATCATACAATATTTGTCCATCTGTGTCTGGCTTATTTCACTCAGTATAATGTTTTCCAGGTTCATCTGTGTCATAACATGTATCAGAACCTTATTTCTCTTTACAGCAAAATAATACTCCATTGTATAGGTATACCACATTTTGTCTATCCATTCATCTGTTTATGGACATGGGTTGTTTCCACCTTCTGGTTATTGTGAATAACCATATCACTTTTCTTAAAAAATAATTGTAAATTTTTGCTGAAGTATAACACAAAGTAAACAAATCTTAATTATATAGTGCAATAGTTTCACAAAGTGAACACACTCATGTAACCAGTATCTAATCCATAAATGTATTATTTTACCTTTCTTATATTTACCTTTAATATATAAGAAGTGGGTCTATTCTTAATTAAAACATCTCTTGAAATACATGATTATTAATTAAGAATCAAGAAAGCTTCATTTTAGGCACTGCACTGAAAGACATTAACTAGTGTTCCTAATTGATTACAGGTTCACACACTTGGAAGGCACCTTGGGAACTAATAATCTATCATATACATTTTTATGTTGCAGCAGGAATTACCACATCTAAAACCAGCAGAGCTTGTGGCGCAGTGAATTACTTAATACGGCCCTTCTAACCGGTCTTTGTGACTCCCACACAGTGATTGGGTGGGACCATGTAAATAAGGTGTATAGAACTCTAATGAGGTGTGGCGGTTGGTGTTGTGTGTTGGCTTGGCTAGGCCATGATTCCCACTATTGTGTGGTTGTCATCCATTTTGTGATTTGATGTAATTACTCTTCATTTTATGTGTTGTAAATCAGAACCTTTATGCTAATGAGGCAGGATTAGGTATATCTTGAGTCACAGCCTTGCAAGAGGGCATTAACTCAAGTCCCACCCTTACTCAAGTCATGCCCTTCCCTTGGGTGTGGCCTGCATCCAATGTATATATGTGGGTGCTCTGGTGGGGCTCTCTCTTTCTCTGCATATGGATCCTGCATCTGGCTTGTCACTGTCTGACCTCCGGTTCTTGGGACTTCAGCCAGCGGCCTGCTGTTTGACCTGCTGATTCCGGAATTTACCAGCTTCTGTAGCCCTGTGGGCCAGCAGCCTGTCATCTGACCTGATTCGCCAGCTTCTGCAGCCTTGTGAGCCAGTAGCCTTCATCTGGCCTGCCCATTTGGGCTTGTCAGCCCCTGCGGCCACCTGAGTCAGGACAAGCCTAACCTGACCCACGGATTTGAGACTTGCCAGTCTCACAACAGCGTGAGCCATTTCCTTGATATGGTTAGTGCGTTTTGTGAGACAATGCAGTGAATTACGGAACCCAAAGACAGGAGGGAGAGTACTGAGGGGAGGAGGAATAGTTGATGTTAGAGATGATGGAGTGGTACAGCAGTTTGGAAAAGTTGGACATTTGGGACATCTTTAACCTCTGCCACATACGAGCCAGCTTTGTGCTCATCCTTACAAAACAAATTATTCATTAAGAGCTATTTTAATTTAAATACCTTTATTTGAAATACCTTCAATTTCCTTTCTCCCTGTGCTACTCTCCTTAATTGGAAATCCATACAACCAGCAAATGAAAATTCAAAAGCAATCACTGGCAGAAAATTCTTACTCATCATTACTTAGACCAACATCCTGTTAATTTTTTTAATACATAAGCTTACCAAGTAGTTGTCAAAATGAAGTCCTAGATTAGAAATAAACACTCAAATTTTTTAATAAGTATGTATAACTCAGTAAATTGGTACTGAAAAGTACATAATAAAAGGGTAAAAAAGGATAGCGGAACTAGTAAAGTATATATTGAACACACCGTCTTCCTAGTCTGAGTAAATTAGAAAAGTTTTTAGTGCCTTACTTACACTTCAATATACTCGAAAAAAACCAAACCAAACCCGTTGTCGTCGATTCCGGCTCCTAGTGACCCTATAGAACAAAGTAGAACTGTCCCATAGGGTTTCCAAGGAGCAGCTGGTGAATTCAAACTGACAACTTTTTTGGTTAGCAGCCCAGCTCTTAACCACTGCACTACCAGGGCTCCTAGTAAGCATCAGAAGCAAGAAATTAGAATCTAGCTCTCTGATTCAAGTCCAGAGACACCAAGACATCTCTCAAGTCAACACTCAACAGCCCCTCTGCGAGAACAGGATGTTATTCTGAGCTAGCACTGAAGGTGACTCAGTAACCAGGCCGGGTTTCCACGGCAGCCTCTTCCGCGTCTACTGGACGGAGGAATCGGACCGGAAGAGGTGGGTGGAACGATGGATCTGCAGAGTGGTTTCCGGAAGCTCCTCGGGGTGGGGGGGAACTACATTGCCCAGAAGCCCGCGGGGCAGGGCAAGGGGAGGGCGTCGGGGACATTACGCGACAGGCCTTTCCCCGCAATATCAAGGTAAATGCCGGCAGCGCGGCTTGGAGGGAAGAATAATTCATGGTCTGCGCCTCTTGCTTGCCTAGATTTGTAGCAGTAACCCTCCTAATCCATCCTGACATGACAGAAACGACTCCTCCAACCTGGAGCCTTCGGGATTCTGGGCCGCCGAACACCACTCCCCCCAACCCATAGCACTCCCACTGTGGTGGGCCTGGGGCGCTTCCCAGATGCGTATGGAACTGGGGTATTAAATATACTAGAAAGGTGAAAGCCCAGGGCACCCCTTTCTAGGGTTGAAGATACCTAATGGTATCCTTTTCGCCTCCCAGCTCACCCTCACCCCCGATCCCATCTCCTATTAAATCGGGCAGGAGCTGGGTTGTGCCTGGCTCCCCGGGGTTCCATGTTATTGGTCTTTAAGGGGAAAGTGTCCACCCTCCCCCAGCGCTGTCTTGTGGCCCTGTCTCCAAGCGGGTGAGCTCCCCTCTCCTTTGCTTGCTGCTCGGACTTCCTTGAATTGGCGGCTAAAGCTGTCGAATATCTGCGGGCCAAGCACTGCTAAGCACCTTCACCCATTACCGCTCTTCCTTTCATCAACCCTTGAAAGAAACCCATACTCACTACCGAGTCGATTCCGACTCATACTGACTATAGGACAGAGTAGAACCGCCCGATAGGGTTTCCAAGGGTGTAATTAAGCTACATCTTTCTCCCACAGAGCAGCTGGTGGGTTAGAACTGCCGATGTTTTGGTTAACAGCCAAGCGCTTTAACCACTTCGCCACCAGGGCTCCTATCTCTCCTTTAGAGTGGTGTAATTATTGCCATATGAGAGTTTACATAACTTGTCTTAGGTCACAGAACTTAAATGGCAGAACTGAAGGTTCTCACCGAGGCTGTCCGGATCTAATGCCCTTTGCTTACCTCCCATTACCATTCTCAAACCTTAACGTAAAAAAAGGAAGGCGCTAGGGACCGCGGAGTCATTATTTGCCCAGTTGCATGGACGCGCGCTGCTTTTGGCCCAGGTGCAGAACCCAACTCCACCTCCCTTGCATGCTCCGCCTGTCGGGCCTCGCTGGCTTGGATGCCTGGGCCTAGCCTCGGCTTTTTCCAACGTTTTCAAAAAGCAAGAATCTAGGGCCCTCCACGGGCCGAACAGGAGCGATGGTCCCTTGGACGGTCGTCTCTCTTCGCGTTTCCCCATTCCCGGGCCCTTTTCGGTGGACCCATGGAGCCTAACGCGTCATCACAGAGGCCACAGACCCGGTGGGTGGAGTTTCCAGAAAGGCAGCTGCGGTGGCAGCAGCTCGGCACCTCTAGCGTCCTCTGGTGACTCTGGGGCGGGGCTGTGGGGTGGGCGCAGAAGAAGGGACCCGGCCAGGATGGAAGGTGTGGCTGCTCCTCCAGTGTCCTCCGGGTGGGAGAGCGGCTCCGCGACCACTGGTGGCCGAACTCTTTGTGCCTTCTGCTAGAGATGCTCTTCCTCTCGGTGAGTTGTTTTTCTGCCTTCACGGACCGGGTTCTCAGCCTTGGTCACGCCCCAGGGAGGAGGAAGGAGCCGGACAACCTAGATCTGCGTGCCCTGGATAGGGCAGGGCAAAGGGTACAGACCAGCTGCGCTCCTTGGCCTCCCACTTTGGGGCATGTTGATGCGGGGCTGCGCTCCATGTTCTAGTTTCATGCAGGCTCCTGGGAAAGCTGGTGCTGCTGCTGCCTGATTCCACCCGATATACCTTGGAACCCGGGCCGGCGCTGGCAGCTGGAGATGGCGGACACAAGATCTGTACATGAAACCAGGTTTGAGGCGGCTGTGAAGGTGATCCAGAGTTTGCCGAAAAATGGTAAGTACACTGGGCACCCGCTGAAGAAGGCACCTGCAGAGGCCCCAGTTCCTAAACCTCATGCCCTTTAACCTTTCTACTTCAAGTCTTGCTTATTTAACCTACTTTTTTCCCCCCTGCGTTTAAAAGGAATGTAATTGAAGGGCAGATATCGAATGTGAATTAATTACCCGCTAATCTTTCAAGCCAGAGACAAACAGATTATCTAGGTTTTAAGTAGTTTATATTGTTGAAAACAGATTAATCAACTGTAAACTGACTGTGGATTTGGGTAAATTAAAAAAAAAAACTATGATGGGGTGCTTGGTGCCGCATACTCATTAACTCTGCAATTTAAGCCCTTTGGAAACTTGATGAGAAGGAGAGAAAGGAAAGAACAATTATAGACATTGTGAAATGATTTCATTTTAATAAATATATATATTTACTGTTTTTCAAATATTTTGTTTTTGTTTGTTTTTTGTTATTCTCCTAGTATTCTCATTTTTGAATTCATATTGGACCACCTTTGCAACATGAAGAAAAGTCATTCGAGTTGTTCTCTCGTATTTTCTGTCATTTCTCTGACTGCTTTCAAGATTTTTCTCTGTCTTTGGTTTTGAGCAATTTGACGATGATGTGCTGTAAAAATGGTGTGGTGCCTGCGCATAGTCTGACCCTCTCATCTAACTTCACAAGGGAGAGGAGAGAGAATCAACATCAGCCCAAGGCTGATCCCTATGAGGTGAAGGTCAAACATACCTCCACCCTCCGACCTTCTTACCAATTCTGACACCAGCTGCCCCTCCCACAACGCTCTCTACTTCTCTGCTGGGTTGGAGACTTGTTGCAATGGCCACACAGAACTCACAGACAATACTCAATGATTATTGGGTTTGTTAGGGAAGTGACAGGTTACAATTCAGGATCAGGAATGACTCAGGATACAGTTCTTCAATCAGGACAGCTTTTTCTCAGCCATGCCTATAGGCAGGCCTATCTCTAGCTCTTGGCCCCTGCCCTCCTTGAACAAGTGTTACAAAGCTCTTTAGCTCCACTAATAAGTGCTTGGAGGCACTCCAGTCCCCCAGCAAGCCTTGGCGTGAAGGTGCACGGCTCTCTCCCTCTGTGGGTTGGCACACCCACTATAATCCCCTTGCTCCATGGGCCAGGAAGCTCACTGTGCCTTTTTGCACAGGTCTCCTGGTTCTGCTGCAGCTATTTCTCTGTCACTGCTTCGCACCATCTTGTGCCCTCTCTGGTGTTATAGCTGTCTCTCCTGGGTCTGGGAGGTTCTCAGCACAGCGACCCCAGGTCCAAAGGATGAGCTCCACTTCCATCTCTTCTTCATGGTGATGGTGAGGTCCCCCCTCTGCTCTGGGATTGGCTCTCCTTTAAGCCTAGCAAATGGTGAAACTAACCAATCCCCTCGTTAGGGTTCCATACAGTTTATATGCATGATCCCACCCCTACAGGGGTGCCATGTACCTTATTGCATTATTAGCAAGCTGCCCAATCCCCTTGGTGGGCCACAAGTACCTTATTTGCGTAGTACCACCCATTCATTTGGTGGGAGTTACAAGACCACGGTTAGAAAGCCATATAAAAGCGATCTATCACACGGCATGTGTCTAGGTGTGGTTTTCTTCATGTTTATTCTCTTTGGGGTATGAACTTGTCATTTTATATCTTTGACCAATGTTGGAGAAGTTTTCAGTCATTATTCAGATATTTTTTTTCTGCTCTACGGTAGTGGAGAGGCTTGGGGGGAGGAACTTTTACTTTTTACTTCAAATCCTTCTGTATTATTTGAATTATCTTTCACAATAAATATGTCTTTTTAAAAATGCTTTTAAGTATTCTTACTATGCCAGAGTTGCAAAACCAACAGAATACAAGGTTAATATATTAGCATAGTTTTTAGTGTGTTGTTTTCATTGATTATCATTTAGCTAAGTAATGAATATTTATTCAGCACAATTCATTCAATAAATATCCATTAAGTGCAGTTAGAAGGTTTTGAAAACAAATATACAAGAAATAGTGTTCCTCTTGTAACTTCAAAGCCACCTTCACTATTTTCTCTCTGTTAAATAACAGAACAGCAAAAGTAGCACTGGAGGAAGACGTGGAGGATTGAAAGATAAGAATGAATAACTGTAAAGGAATAAGATAGGAACCCATTTAAGTATTGAATTCAAAAATGCCCAATTAAGAGGGTTTTTAGAAGGATGTGATTCTAAGAATTTTATGTAAGTAGGAATATAGTACATTTGCCCAAACACATATTTTTTTTTTTGAAAATTGAAAAAGCTAGACTTATGTCTTTAGTCTACTATCTTGGCATTATAAACCACTTATAAAGAAACACGTAAATACTGTTTTTATTTACATAACATTTAAGAAGATATTGCCAGGTTAAGGTTCCTCTGCTAAATGGCACCTGTGTTGGACAAAATTCAGTATGCTGTTATTCCTCAGATATTGTTTCTCATACTAACTTGATATTAATCAAAGCAGGAGTACTGTTATAATGAATTATTAAATATTTTTAAAGTAACACTTTTAAATTGTTTGGCCTCTGCTGAGCTATTTGCAAAGGATAATATCTTGTAGTTTTTTGTTCCTTGTTGCTTAATCCTTTTTTTTTTAGTAATGTTTTATTGTGTTTTAGGTGAAAGTTTACACAGCAAATTAGGTTCCCCTTTAACAATTTTTATACAAATTATTTGTGCCCTTGGTTACAGTTTTTACAATGTGTCAGCATTCTCATTATTTCCACACTATTTGTTCTGCTTCTGTTGCTCTAGCTTCCCTTCCCTTCCTTGCCGTCTCATCTTTGCTTTTGGGTAACTGTTGACCATTTGGTCTCATACAGTTAATTGCTTAAGGGAGCACATTACTCATAAGTGATACTGTTTTATAAGCCGATCTATTATTTGGCTGAAAGGTGACCTGCAGAAATAGTTTCATTTCCAAGTTCAAAGGGTATCTTAGGGCGATAGTCTCGGGGTTCCTCTAGTCTCTATCAGTCCAGTAGGTCTGGCCCTTTTTAGGAATTTGAGTTTTGTTCTGCATTTTTCTCCCATTCTATCCGGGACCTTCTGTTGTGTCCCTGGTCAGAATGGTCAGTAGTGGTCGCCAGGCACCATCTAGTTCTTCTGGTCTCAGATTTGAAGAGGTTGTGTTTCATGTGGGCTGTTAGTCCCATGGACTTCTTTGAGCCTTTGATTTCCTTCATTCTCTTTTGGTCCATGTGCGTAGAGACAAATAGATGTATCTTAGATGGCCACTGGCAAGCTTTTAAGACCCCAGACGCTACTCACCAGAAGAACATTATCTTATGCCAGCTGACTAAATTGTCTCCCCCCAAGATTATTAATCCTTATTTAAGGCCTACAGTAATATTGAATCCTGTAGTTTCTTTGTTTGGTATGCCCTTGACAATTAGAAGTTTAAATTCTTAGATAATATTTCAAACATATAGATATTAAAATGTCTTATGTGTGAGCACTTTGAGGACAGAGATCATACTTATCCAGTGCCTGACACATAGCATGCGTTCCGTAAGTATTCTCAGTTTTTGTTGCAACATATTGCAATTCTCCTAAACCAGTAAACTTTTTTCTTCTTTTTTAATTTTTTCCCATACAAAAATTTATACTTACATTGTTATGTGACTCTAATTGTTCTCCCCATACTGTGACAGCACACTCTTCCTTTCCACCCCTGATTTCCCGTGTCCATTCAACCAGCTCCTAACCCTCTCTGCCTTCCCCATCTCGCCTCTGGACAGAAGCTGCCCGTTTAGTCTCTTGTAGCTACTTGAGCTAAGAGGCACACTCCTCACGAGTATCACTTTATGTCCCACAGTCCAGTCCAATCCCTGTCTGAAGAGTTGGCCTCGGAAATTGTTTTAGTTTTGGGCTGACAGAGAATCCAAGGGCCATGCTTTCCAGGGTACCTCCAGTCTCAGTCAGACCATCAAGTCTGGTCTTCTTACTAGAATTTGAGTTCTGCACCCCACCTTTCTCCTGCTCCATCCAGGACTCTCTGTTGCGTTCCCTGTCAGGGCGGTCATTGGTGGTAGCCGGGCACCATCTAGTTCTTCTGTAAACCAATAAACTTTTAAATCTCATTTGGTTGACTTAGTGAAGATATGATGAAGTAAGACTTTTGACAGAGTCAGATCTGCCGCATAGAGTTCCCAAGGAGCAGCTAGTGGAATCGAACTGTCGACCTTTTGGTTGTCAGCTGTAGCTCTTAACCATTGCACCACCAGGGCTCCATTTTATATTTAAATTTGTGTTATTCACATAGTAACCATTTTTAATTACAGTTTTTCCATTTCCCCCCTCTGCTATGTAAAGGACTGTATCATTGAAACACTGTATCTAATGGATATTCCTAAATATACATATATTATGTAAATAATTATTATTGTGATTTTGGAATTAATCATGCATACTTGGCTACACCTGAAACACCAGCTCTCAGCTCTGTGTTGTAATTTCCACAACATTTTATAAACTACTAGCTTTTTCCCCTGTATTTATAAATTTAATGTTTTATTTCATTCATAAATATTTCAAATGTAGGATTTAACTCCTTTTTTTTAAATAATTTTTTGTTGTTGACGACAATGTACACAGCAAATCATAACACTAGTTCAATAATTTCTACATGTACAATTCAGTGACATTGATTACATTCTTCAACCATGCTCACCCTCCTTTTTCGGAATTATTCCTCCATTGAACTCATTGCCCCCCAAGTTTCTTCTCTAACCTTGCGAGTTACCGTTGTCAGTTTGATCCCATACAGATAGTTCTTTCAAAAAGTACAATACTCAAGGCAGACATTCTTTATTGATTCAGCTTAACTATTGTTTGGTTTAAGGAAGACTTCAGGGGATATTTTTGGTTTAAGGTTTAAAGATTGTCTCAAGGCATTAGTTTCAGGGGTTCATCCAGCCTCTATGGCTCCAGAAGTATGGATTCCATGGGATTTGAAATTCTGTTCCACATTTCTTCCCCCTTTGATCGGGACTTTTCTATAGAATCTGTTCAAAACATTCAGTAGTGGTCAAACTACACTTTTTTGATGACTACATATCAATTTATTATACAGTCTGTAAAGTTTTTAACATATCTTTTTACAGTTTTAATTTTATTGTCATACTAATTCTTGTTATAAAACTAATACACCCTTATGCTAAAAATTTTTTAAATGCAGATAAGCAAAAGGAAAAGAAAAATAATCTGTGCACCTAATATCCAGATATACCCTCTTTTAACATTTGGTATATATCCTTCTAGCCTACTTTTTTTTTTTTTAACTGTACTTTAGATGAAGGTTTACAGAACACACTAGCTTCTCATTAAACAGTATACATATTGTTTTATGACATTGGTTAACAACCCCACGACATGTCAACATTCTACCTTCTTGACCTTGGGTTCCTTATTACTAGCTTTCCTGTCCCCTCCTGCCTTCAAGTTCTTGCCCCTGGAATGGTGTGCCCCTTTAGTCTCATTTTGTTTTATGGGCCTGTCCAATCTTTGGCTGAAGGGTAAACCTTAGTAGTGACTTCATTACTGAGCTAAAAGGGTGTCTGGGGGCCCTACTCTTGGGGTTTCTCCAGTCTCTTATCAGGCCAGTAAGGCTGCTCTTTTTTTTGTGAGTTAGAATTTTGTTCTACATTTCTCTCCAGCTTTATCCGGGACCCCCTACCTTGATCCCTGCCAGAACAGTTAGCAGTGGCAGCCAGGCACCATCCAGCCACACTGGACTCAGTCTGATGGAGGCCGCAGCAGCTGCGGTCCATCAGTCCCCTGGATCAATCCCTCCCCTGTGTCCCTAGCTTTCTTCATTCTCCCCTGCTCCCAAAGGGGCAAGACCAGTGGCGTATCCTAGATGGCTGATCACAGGCTTTTAGGACCCCCGATGCTACTCACCAAAGTAGAAGGTAGAACATTTTCTTTATAAACTATGTTATGCCAACTGAGCTAGATGTTCCTTGAGACCATGGTCCCCACAGCCTCTAGCCTACTTTTTATGTATATAAATACTTACTTTGCAAAAATGGATCATACTATATGTGCTGTTTTTAGAACTGCTTTTTTCTCCTTGCTTTATAACAGATCATGAAAATGTTCTCATGCCATTATTTATATTTTTCTACAATATAATTTTTAAGGACTATAATTATAAATTATTTTGTTCTGTGTGTGTATCATAATTATTTAACTAGTTTTTAAGTATGAAACATTTATTTTCCAAATTTTTACTGTTGTCATTAAGAGTATTGCAATTACATTGCTTGTTCATACAGTTTGAAAAATTTAAACATAAAAAACGATTATAGATATTCTGGAAACTTACGCAAAGATTAATTCTCGAAGAAATTGATGTATCCAAAATTACAGAGCTAGGAAGTGAAAAATCAATTTTCTTTATCTTAGATGAACTGTTTTTGTACCATATTACATGCTGGTTGACTTTAGCTTAAGCTTCTTCTTTTTCTTTTATTGTACTTTAGTTGAAAATTTACAGCTCAAGTTAATTTCTCATACAAACATTTATACACATATTGTTATGTGACGTTAGTTGCAATCCCTGTAATGTGACCACACACTCCCCCTTTCCACCCAGGGTTTCTTGTGTCTGTTCAACCAGTTCCTGTCCCTTTCTGCCTTCTCATCCTGCCTCTGGACAGGAGCCACCCATTTGGTCTCGTATATCCACTTGAACTAAGAAGCACACTCTTCACGAGTATTATGTTATGTTTTACAGTCCAGTATAATCTTTGTCTGAAGAATGGACTTTGGGAATGGTTTTCGTTCTGGGTTAACAGAGCATCTGGGGGCCATGGCTTCAGGGGTTCCTCCAGTCTCAGTCAGACCGTTAAGCCTGGTCTTTTTATGTGAGTTTGAGTTCCTCTCCACACTTTTCCTGCTCCATCAGGGACTCTGTTGTGTTCCCTGTCAGGGCATTCATTGATGGTAGCCAGGCACCATCTAGTTCTTCTAAGAAGTGATCTGTGTTTAATGTATGTTTCCAATAGGTTCATTCCAGCCAACAAATGAAATGATGCTCAAGTTCTATAGCTTCTACAAGCAGGCAACTGAAGGACCCTGTAAAAATTCAAGGCCTGGATTTTGGGATCCTATTGGAAGATATAAATGGTAATTTTATATAGCAAGCTATTAAAGAATTTTAGTTTTGATAACATCTTTATTATATGTATGTTATTCATCAGTTGTATATTATTCTGTGCACAAAATGTCGTAAGTCTTAGGTAAAATTTTTATCATTCAGGTGCTCTGAACACAATTTCACACAGACAGAAAAATCTTAGGAAAAAGAAGAAAACAATGGAAACCAAAAGGGGTAGATGTATCAAAGATAAAAAGCAGTTTTAGTTAGTCTTTCTCTTTATGGAATTTTTTCTTTCTTTCTTTTTTTTAATGTCAGGAGCAACCCCCAAATTAAGTTAAATAAACAAACTCACCTGCCACTTCCATCTGCCAAGAAAATACTGATTTTTGCTTGTCAAGTGGCATTGTTTGCTTTGAGGCTTTAAGTAATAAGTAACTAGCAACATGACTGAGATACTGCCACACTGTTTATCTAAGCTTTTACTCCTGACCCACTGTACTTGAATAGAAAACTAATTTGATTTCTAATATACTTTAAAAAATTATAAAATATCCAGAGACACCTCTGTCCTTTTTCTAATTGAGTGTGGTTGTGTGCTGGCAAGTCAATTCCAACTCATAACAGCCCTATAGGACAGAGTAGAATTGCCCCGTAGGGCTTTCTAGGCTGTAATCTTTGTTGGAGCAGATCACCAGGCCTTTTTCCTGCTGAGCCGCTGGGTGGGTTCAAACTATCAACCTTTTGGTTAGCAGCAGAGCACTTAACCCTTGTGCCACCAGTGCACCTTTCCAATTGATTAACATACAGTATTCCTAAGTACTACTGCAGACTTTACAAATGTTTGACAAAAGTCAGTTTTAGACTGTACTTTATGAGCAGAGTATCCTAATTGGTGAATCTTGTCCATTCTGATGCTAAATTTCTTTATCCTTGAGCTGGATATGCTATCGACTGTTTGAAGATTTCTTAGCACTATCTGGTACGGCTGCTAACCAAAAGGCCGGCAGTTTAAATCCACCAGCCACTCCTTGGAAACCCTATGGGGCTGTTCTGTTCTGTTCTGTAGGGTCGCTATGAGTTGAAATCATCTCCGACGGCAATGAGTTTTGGGTTTTTTATCCTCTAAGACTTTTATGAATAGTCATAAAATAATAGGTTAAATGAAATAATATGTTATTTAATCTGTCCATTTTTAGAGAATTTACTTTTTTTCCTCAAAATTGACCTTTGGGGGAGTTAAACTGCCTCTGGGATAAACATATAAAAAGAGAGATTTTCATGTCAGGCAAAAATTTCAAAGAAATAATATCATTTTCTGGAATCCTTGGGTGGTGCAAACAGTTAACGTGCTCAGCTGCTAACCTGAAGGTTGGTGGTTCAGGTCTGCCCAGATGTATCTCGGAAGAAAGGCTTGGTGTTCTGAAAAATCAGCCCCTGAAAACCCTATGGGGCACAATTCTACTCTGACCCACGGTGGGGTTGCCATAAATTGGATCAACTCATTGGCAACTGGGTTTTACTCTTTTTTTTTTAATTGTCATTATCTAGGGGTTTAAAAATTTCCTGACCCTCACATTTTCATTTTTTTAGAAGTAAGAAACTATTTTGATTTTTAGTTTGAGTGTATAAATTATGTAAATTAATGGAAACTTTTGACCAAAACTTCTGTTCATTTAAAACATGGCTGTGACAATTCATGTAGTCTTCTAAAGTGTTCATTTCTGTTGCTGTTTTTATGAATAGTCTATTTCGTCTCTAGTCTATAATAGTCTATATTGTGTCTGTGGTCTCTTAATATGTAGATGGTATGTACTTATTCATTTTAGATAATATTTAACTTACTGTAATATTTTTCTTCAGGATAGCACATTTAAAGAGATCCTTTGAAAGCATAAAGGAGCCCTGGTGGTGCAGTGGTTAAGAGCTCAGCTGCTAACTGAAAGTTTGTCAGTTTGAACCCACCAGATGCTCTGTGGGAGAAAGATGTGGCAGTCTGCTTCTGTAAATATTACAGCCTTAGAAATCCTGTGGGGCAGGTCTGCTCTGTCCTATTGAGTCTCTATGGGTGGGAATTGACTTGATGGCAGGGGGTTTGAAAACATGACATAGTTTTAAGTAGAGCCTGTTTTAAATTAATGACCAAGTATAAATTTATTATGAGGAATTGAAAATCAAGAATCGCTTTATCATTATTTTGATATTTTCATTTCTAGGGATGCATGGAGTTCATTGGGTGATATGACCAAAGAGGAAGCCATGGTTGCATATGTTGAAGAAATGAAAAAGGTAGGAAAAATAATTCACAATAGAAAATAAAAATTATCAAAGAAGCTCTAATATAGTTTTATTACCAGACAAATTAGCTGTTTTGTTTTAAGGACCAAGGGATATTGTAGTGACCAAGGGATATTGTAGTATGTTATACTGTAGAATCTAGATTTTTGCATTTTTTTAGGGGTTTAGCAGTTTCATTAACGTTCATCTGAAGGTGTCTTTTCCTTAAGATTTGCCACATTCTGGTAATACGAGTTCTTGTTTCTTTACTTTTCTCATCTATCTCTGTAGTCGGCTTCTAGAGAAAGTGTAGGAATAGAAATCCTTTAAAATACTAATTTCCCTTCATGAGAAGTCTGGGAAGTACTGCACCATCTTGAAAGTATTTCTGCTTTGGAACTTTTTACTTAGGAGAAATAGTTAACAATACTGCTCAACATCATACAAGATTTGACTCATAAATTGAGATATTCCATTACTTGACTTCTCATTAGCAAGCATTTTTCTGTAAATGTGAAGATCATTCAGGAGAATAAGATAAGGAGGATATGTTTTTAGTTCTCTGCCAACTACTCAAGAGGGGCGTTTCTTATTAACAAGCTCTTTTAAGTCTGTCCAAGGGATTGGTTTTTGTTTTTGTTTTTTTTAATTGTTGTGCTTTAAGTGAAAGTTTACAATTCAAGTTAGTCTCTCATACAAAAATTTATACGTACATTGTTATGTGACCCTAATTGCTCTCCCTATGTGACAGCACACTCTCCTTTCCACCCCTGATTTCCCATGTCCATTCAACCAGCTCCTGATCCTCTCTGCCTTCTCATCTCACCTCTGGACAGGAGCTGTGCATTTAGTCTCATGTGTCTACTTGAGCTAAGAAACACACTCTTCACGAGTATCATTTTATGTCCCATAGTCCAGTCTAATCATTGTCTGAAGAGTTGGCCTCAGGAATGGTTTTAATTCTGGGTTGACAGAGAGTCCGGGGGCCGTGCTTTCTGGGGATCCTCCAGTCTCAGTCAGACCATTAAGTCTAATCTTTTTACTAGAATTTGAGTTCTGCACGCCTCTTTTCTTATGCTCCATCAAGGAGTGTCTGTTGTGTTCCCTGTCAGGGCGGTCATTGGTGGTAGCCGGGCACCATCTAGTTCTTCTGGTCTCAGGCTGACCAAGGGATTGTTTTGATAGGATTTTTAAAAAAATATATATAACACAACATTTGCCAATTCAACATTTTTCAGATGTACAGTTCAGTGATATTAATTACATTAAGCATGTTGTGCAAATATCACCCATAATCGTTGCCACATTTCCCATCAGCATGAACAAACACTCACCGAACAAAAACTTCCCCTTTCCCCCTCCTTCCCACCCCTGGTAACCACTAAAAAACTTTGGTCTCTATACATTTGCCTGTTCTTGTTATTTCATATAAGTGAGATCATATAATATTTGTCCTTTTGTGATTTGATTTATTTCACTAAGTGTAAGGTTTTAGAGTTTCATTCATGTTGTGGCATGTATCAGGACTTCATTTCTCTTTATGGCTGAGTAGTATTCCATTATATGTATGTACTGTATTTTGTTAATCTGTTTATCTGTTGATGGACACTTAGATTGTTTCTACCTTTTGGCTATTGTGAATAGTGCTGCAATAAATATTAGTGTGCATGTGCCTGTTCACATTGCTGCTGTCAGGTCTTTTGGGTAACCCAGGAGTAGAATTGCTAGATCATAGAGTAGTTCTGTGTTTAACTTTTGGAGGAACCACAAAACTTTTCCACAGTGCCTGTACTATTTTACATTCTTACTAGGGTTCAGATTGCTCCACATCCTCATCAACATTTTTTATTTTCTGTTTTTTTTTTAATTTTAGCTATCCTAGTGGGAGTGAAGTGATACCTATTGTGGTTTTGATTTACATCTGTCTAATGGCTAATGAGGAGCCCTAGTGGTGCAGTGGTTAAGAGCTACAGCTGCTAACCGAAAGGTCAGCAGTTCAAATCCACCAGCTGATCTTTAGCAACGCAATGGGGCAGTTCTACTCTGTCCTGTAGGTCGCTGTGAGTTGGAATCGACTCGATGGCAATGAGTTTTGGTTTTAATGCTAATGATGAGCATTTTTTCATGTGCTTGTTGGCCATTTGAATATCCTCTTTGTTGAAATGCCTGTTCAAGTCTTTTGCCCATTTCTTATTTTTATTGTGCTTTTTATTGTGAAAGTTTACAGCTGAAGTTAGTTTCTCATACAAAAATTTATACACACATTGTTATGTGACCCTAGTTGCTCTCCCTATAATGTGACAGCACACTCCTTTTTTCCACCCTGGATTTCCTGTGTCCATTCAGCCAGCTCCTGACCCTCTCTGCCTTTTCATCTCACCTCCAGACAGTCTTATGTATCTGCTTGAGCTAAGAAGCACAGTCTTCATGAGTATCGTTTTATGTCTTATAGTCCTGTCTAATCTTTGTCTGAAGAGTTGGTTTCAGGAGTGGTTTTAGTTCTGGGTTAACAGACAGTCCAGGGGCCATGTCTTCCAGGGTTTCTCCAGTCTCAGTCAGACCATTAAGTCTGGTCTTTTTACTAGAATTTGAATTCTGCACCCGACTTTTCTCCTGCTCTGTCCGGGTCTGTCTGTTGTGTTCCCTGTCAGAGCAGTCATTGGTGGTAGGTTGGCACCATCTAGTTCTTCTGGTCTCATCAAATCTTTTGCCTGTTTTTTGATTGGGTTGTTTGTCTTTTTGTTTTTGTAAAAGTCTTATAAACATTTTGGATATTAAGCCTTTTTCAGATATATGGTTCCTGATGATATTTTCCCAATCTCTAGGTTGTCTCTTCAATTTTTTGATGAAGTTCTTTGATAAACAAAAGTATTTAATTTTTATGAGGTCCCATTTATCTATTTTGTCTTTTGCTGCTGAGGCTTTTGTTAGAATATCTGATAAACTGTCATTAAAAACTAGACCCCACAGCCATATCCCCATGTTTTCTTCTGCGAATTTTATAGTTTTACTTTTCACATTAAGGTCCTTGATCCATTTCAAATTGGTTTTTATATATGGTGTGAGGTATGGATCTTGATTTATACTTCTGCACATGGAAATCCAATTTTCCCAGCACTATTTATTAAAGAGACTCTTGCTACCTGTAAAATGGGAGGAGTAGTAGTGTTAGAACCTGTTCAACCTTGGGCGAATTAAGATTAGCCCAAGACTGATCCCTTTGAGGTGGAAGTCAGACATACCTTCACTCTCTAACCTTTTCACCAATTCAGACACCAGCCGTCCCTCCCATGGCACTCTCTATTTCTCTTCTAGGTTCGATAATCCATTGCAGTGGCCACACAGAAGTAACAGGGTACAACTCAGGATCAAGATCAACAGGCTGCAACTCAGGATCAGGATACAGAAGCATGTAGGCAAAATCTCCCTTCTTCAGTGTAGGACAGCTCTCTCAGCTTCTCTTGGCCATGCAGGCCTCCTCTCAGTCGCCTCAGTACAAGCCTCCTTTCAGCTTCTTCAAGACAGGCTTCTCCCGGTCCCCTCAGGATGGGATCTTCTCAGACTCCCCAGGATAGCCTCCTCTCGGCCCCCTCAGTACAGGCTTCTCCTGGCCCTGCTGTCTGTCACAACTGACTCTGCTCTAGGGCCCCTTCTGGGCCGGTCATCGCCAGCTCTGCCGCTCAGCCCCTTCTGGGCCTCTTACTGCCTTCAATATTATAGTCCTTGACCCATGTTACAGCTTTTAGGAGGTTCCTTATGTCCTCTCTTTCTCTGCTTTTCTCTTCTTTCTTCCTTCTGCTGCTTCTTGCTGCTTCTCTTTCTATTTCTTTCTGTCTGAAAAACATCTGTGGCGTTGGCTGCATATATACACAACTCTTGTCGATTTTAAGGCATGGCCCCTCCCAGCAGGGGACCACAAACTGACCAATCCCCTCTTGGTAGGCCATAGACACTCATTTGCATATTAGGCTATAGTCACCTCATTTGCATAGTCCACAGTCATTTCATTTGCATGAGTATATTGACCAATCCTTGCAAGATGCATACTAGTCACAGGGCAGGTTGCAGCCTAGGGCCAGACAAAAAGTCAAGTTGTTTACAGCTTGCCCAGGAAATGTCAGTCAACCTGGACAAAAGTAACAAACCCTCTCGGCTGGAAAGCTGGGACACAGGTAACTCCTCAGGGCTTAGGGGAAAAAGCCTCTCAAGTTGTTAATCCAAAGAACCAAGGCAAAAGGCCACGTAAAGAACTCATTTCACCACACTTCCCCATTAAATAGACTTAGTACCCTTGTCAAAAATCAGTTGACCATAGATGTATGAGTTTATTTATGGACTCTCAATTCTGTTCCTAGGTCTGTGTATCTATTGTTATACCAATACCAGACTGTTTTGATTACTGTAGCTGTATAGTATGTTTTGAAATCAGGAAGTGAGAGTCCTCCTACTTTGTTCTTCAAAATTGCTTTGGCTATTCCGGAGCCTCTTACCTTTCCATATAAAACTGAGGATTGGTTTTTCTATTTCTATAAAGAAGGTTTTTGGAATTTTGATCAGGATTGTGTTGAATCTATAGATTGCTTTGGGTAGTTGTTTTATCTAGTGCTGCTGTAACTGAAATAACACAAGTGGATGGCTTTAACAAACAGAAATTTATATTCTCACAGTTTGGGAAGCTAGAAGTCTGAATTCAGGGTGCCAGCTCTAGGGGAAGGCTTTCTCTCTTGGCTCTGGGGGAAGGTCCTTATATCTTCAGCTTCTATTTCCTGGTTCCTTGGAGATCTTCAAGTGGCTTGGCATCTGTCTTCCCTATCTCTGCTTGCTTGCTTGCTTGCACGTTTAAACTCTTTTATATCTCAAAAGAGATTGGTAACATTAATCTTGCCTCATTAACATAACAAAGACACCCCATTCCCAAATGGTATTATAACCACCACAGGCATAGAGGTTAGGATTTACAATGCATATTTTGGGGGGACGCAATTCACTCCATGACAGTAGTATTGATATCTTAACTATATTGAGTTTGCCAGTATACATGAACATGGGGTGTCTTTCCATTTATTTAAGTCTTCTTTAATCTCTTTCAATAGCGTTTTATAAGTTTCACTGTATAAGTCTTTCACATCCCTGGTTGAGTTTATTCCTAGGTATTTTATTCTTTTAGGTGCTGTAGTAAATGGAATTATTTTTTAAATAACCTTTTCAGATTTCACATTGCTGGTATAGAAATCCAGCTGATTTTAGTGTGTTGACCTTGTACTCTGCAACTTTGCTAAATTCTTGAGGGGAAAATTTATGAAGATGATCCTACAGGCTTTTTATAAAAGACCATTTTTATGTTGAGGATGGATCAGAAGTTGTGAAATATAGGTCTGTTTGACAGTTTTAAATAGATTGTCTTTGAACATAAAGAAAAATCTGTAAAAAGAAATAGTTGTTTTACCAGATGGTATGACGGTATTAATCTCTGTTATAATTTATTTATTTAGTTTTATTTATTTTAGGTGAAGGTTTACAGAACAAACTAGCTTCTCATTAAACAACTAGTACACATGTTGTTTTGTGGAATTGGTTACTAACTCCACGACATGTCAACACTTGCCCTTCTCGACCTTGGATTCTCTGTTGCCACTTTTTCTGTCCCCTCCTGCCTTCTAGTCCTTGCCCCTGGGCTGGTGTGCCCCTTTAGTGTCATTTTGTTTTATGGGCCTGTCTAATCTTTGACTAAATGGTGAACCTCAGGAGTGACTTCATTACTGAGCTAAAAGGATATCTGGGAGCCATACTCTTGGGGTTTCTCCAGTCTCTGTTGGCCAGTAAGTCTGGTTCTTTCTTTTGTGAGTTAGAATTTTGTTCTACATTTTTCTCCAGCTCTGTCCGGGACCCTCCATTGTGATCCCCATCAGAGCAGTCGGCGGTGGCAGCCAGGTACCATCTGGTTGTGCTGGACTCAGTCTGGTGGAGGCTGTGGTAGTTGTGGTCATTAGTCCTTTGGACTAGTCTTTCCCTTGTGTCTTTGGTTTTCTTCACCCTCCCTTGCTCCAGATGGGGTGAGACTAGTGGAGCATCTTAGATGGTCACTCATAGGCTTTTAAGACTCCAGATCCTACTCACCAAAGTAGAATGTACAACATTTTCTTTATACACTATGTTATGCCAATTGAGCTAGATATTCCCTGAGACCATGGTCCCCACAACCCTCAGCCCAGTAATTCAGTCCCTGAGGGTCTCTTATAATTTCTATTTGCTAGATTCACTTTTTTTGTTTTGTTTTATTTCTGTTTGCTTTTAAAATTTCTTGCACACTGCTGAATTGTGCCCTTTGTTACATTTTCATAATTTTTATTTAGCGGACTTTGTGTATCTGTAATAGAGGGCAGAGTTCTTTTGGCTGTTAACTATATCAATAACACAACAACAAAGAGGCCTTTCAAAAGCGGAGAAAGATAATCTAAAGCCTTTTTGGTTTGATAACTATTCCTTTACCTTAAATATCATTATTATTTTTAGGACACACTTTTATAATGTAAAGTTGAATTGACACATTAAGTAAAATTTATGTATTTTTTCCTATCCAGTATTATTAATGGTGTAGCCACAACTTAAAGTGGGAGTGGGATGAAACAATGTGTATTCTATTTTTTTTCCTAAGAGAGATTAAAACTACTGCTGCCTTTTAGCCGTCTTAAAATGTTCCCACTGTGTCTGTGTATTTTTCTACTTGTCTAATTAAAATAATATGCTATTTTCATTCAGACTTTTAAAACTTCATTTTATATGTGAATATAACAAAGTTTATAGTAAATTTTTAGAGGTAGATCTAAAAGTATTAGGATATCCATATATTCAAAAATTTGATTACTCTCTTGAATTATTTTCAGAGTTAGCTTTATGGATATTGGTAGATAAAACTGTATATTTGTAAATAATCATGTCATATAATACTTTATACCAAAGATTTGATTACTGATTTTGAGATTTTTTCTAATTGCCATAATACTTTACTAATTGAAACAGTTGTTAAATTATATTCTTAAATATAGTTCACAAATTACTGTACCATTGCTCTTTAGGATTATATGACATTTTTGTCATTCATAAATGATGTCTGTCACCCAGGAAAAGTGCTGAATAAACAGAAAAATTATTATGCTTAGATATGCCTCTTCTAGAGTCCATGTTGTTGTTAGGTGCCATCGAGTTGATTCTAAGTCATGGCAATCCCATGCGACAGAGTAGAGTCAATGCAGCCTACCATATATTTCTGTTAATACATTCTCCATTTGGCTTGGGTTACAATACATTTAATTAACTTAATTAACTTTTGTTGTTGTTGTTAGTTGCCATTGAGTTGATTCTGACTCATGGCAACCCCATGTGTTCCGAGTAGAATTGCTCCATAGGGTTTTCAAGGCTGTGACCTTTCAGAAGCAGATCACCAGGCTTGTCTTCCAAGACGCCTCTGGGTGGGTTTGAACCCCCAGCCTTTCGGTTAGTAGTCCAGTACTTAACCATTTGTGTCACTTACAACTTTAGATAAAATCTTCTCTGAAGATAAGTAGTAATTATGGAGACGGGATTTGCCTGTATCTGTCTGTCAGTCTGTGTGTGTTTCTCTGTATCTATAAAGTGTGTGTCTGTGTGCACATTCACACACACACCATTTCTTTTATTTCAGCACTGGAGGTAGGGGATAGAATTTTGTAAATCACTGAGATCATTCTTTTTGTTTATTTATTTTTCTCAAAGAAATAATAGAATTTATTTATTTATTGCAATGCATCATTTGATTTTTTTATTTTATTATTTATTTATTTACTTTTTATTGTACTTTAGATAAAGATTTACGGAACAAGCTAGCTTCTCATTAAACAATTAGCGCACATACTGTTTTGTGACATTGGTTACCAACCCCACGACATGTCAACACTCTCCTTTCTTGACCTTGGGTACCCTATTACCAGCTTTCCTGTCCCCTCTTGCCATCTAGTCCTTGTCCCTGAGCTGTTGTACACCTTTAGTCTTGTTTTGTTTTATGGGCCTGTCTAATCTTTGGCTGAAGGGTGAACCTCAGGAGTGACTTCATTACTGAGCTAAAAGGGTGTCTTGGGGGCCATACTCTCAGAGTTTCTCCAGTCTCTGTCAGACCAGTAAGTCTGGTCTTTTTTTGTGAGTTAGAATTTTTCTCCAGCTCTGTCTGGGACCTTCTATTGTGATCCCTGTCAGAGCAGTCACTGGTGGTAGTCGGGTACTATCTAGTTGTGCTTGACTCAGTCTGGTGGAGGCTGTGGTAGTTGTGGTCCATTAATCCTTTGGACTTATCTTTCCCTTTTGTCTTTGGTTTTCTTCATTCTCCCTTGCTCTAGATGGGGTGGAACCAGTGGAGTATCGCTAAGATCATTCCTGGTTGTTGTATTTTGAGAGTTTCTCCTTCAGAGAGTATACTCTTAATTTGTGTTCTGCCTATACTGATTACTGAAATTCTAGCTTATTGAAAGAACTATAACACTCTGTTTATATTTATTTAGTGCCAGCACCTACTACATTTAGTTAGTTGTTCTGACATTGCAAGTCCATAATTCAATGGGGTATGAGAAACCCAGACATTGGAGAAAGTTGAGAAGAGATTTTTTTTATAAGCTGTAATTGAGTGATAACTAAAAGGGATCTGGTTTGCAGGAGGATCAAAGGAAATGTTGAGTGGGTATCATGATGGGATATCTAGTTAGGTTACCAGATTCTGTTAAGTCAAGTTTTTATATCATGGCAGTGTGACATAGTGTAAAGGGTACTGGCTTGTGTTTGAATTCTCTCTGCCACTTATTAACTGTGACTTTGGTTATATCAAAGTAAACATTACCCTATGGTTTCAATTTTTTGTTTGAATCTAATTCTCACAGTTCTCAGTTTATCATTCTCAGAATTATCTTTTATGGGTCACCAGTTGATGGCTGTTCAGTTGAATGCTTTCTAAATTTGATGATCCTAAATTGGCCAGCAGTTATAAAGACGGCTGAAAGTGGTTACCACTTCCTACTTTACTTGTGTGCCGTTTTAGAAACACTACGTTGGTGTTATAAAACGGAGACATAATAACTTGACTCTAACACCACAGTTTACTATTTTAACATTAATGCTCCTAGTTTTTAGTGCACAATTTATGAATGATCGTGTAAAATTTTACATGAAGCATGTGTAAAATTGTTTTCAAAATGGAAACACAGTTAGACCTTTAATATACTTGAAACTTTTCTAGGAGAGTATATACATTAAATATGTAATTGATACAGCTATTTTAAGGAATCTGTAAATGCACTTCAAATCTCAAAATTTATTAATAAATTGGAAATGTTAGATTATTTGATACTGGTTAGATCAGATTAATATTTTGTGATTTCACAAGATTTTTCTATTTTGATTGCAGATTCTTGAGACCATGCCGATGACTGAGAAAGTTGAGGAATTGCTGCATGTCATAAGTCCATTTTATGAAATTGTAGAGGACAAAAAGAGTGGCAGGAGTTCTGATTTTACCTCAGGTAGGACTGTTTTACCTATTTTTTTAATTTAGCAATTGGTTATATTCTGAATTAATATTTATATATCTGATTTTTTTTTTTTTCATTTTCACATGCCAGTCCAACTGGAGAAAATCTGTAAATATTTAGAAGGTAGGAGTAATGAAATCCACGCGAAATTTTTCTATGTAACTTATAAGCTTGTCACCCAAAAGTTTTCTTTCAAAAGAAACACATTTTATGATGTTTCAGAACGTTGTTATTGTGTATCGTCGAGTTGATTCTGACTCATAGTGACCCTGTAGGACCGAGTAGAACTGCCACGTAGGGTTTCCTAGGCAATAATCTTTACAGGAGCAGATTGCCAAGTCTTTTCTCCTGCAGCGTGGCTGGTGGGTTTGAACCGCCAACCTTTCAGTTAGCAGCTGAGCACTTAACCATTGTGCTACCAGGGCTCCTTTCCAAAATACTATAAACCTTTAAGTGTTAATTTATGAAAACTTGACAGGTGATTCACTTAGCAATACAAAGTTTTGGTAGAATTCATGGTTTTATTTTGATGTGTCATATTTTCTGTTTTGCTTTAGGAATTATATTAGCAGTATTGTAGCTGAAATGATATTCTAACTACTTTTATAGTACATGTATTTTCAGTATGGTTTAGCTATAGTCTAGCAAGCTAAAACAAGACAGTGAATTCAGTTTGTTTGTTTGTTTTTTTTAAATTTTGTTTTCATGTGCTCAGTAAAGGATTGAAAGGCTTATGTTTTTCATACTAGCAGGAGTTTAATAATATGCAAGGTTTTCTGGTATTAACTGTAAACATTTGTTCTTTAAAACATTTTAGAAAGCAGAGTGAAATGAGCCCACAAGAGGCAATTTAAGTGAAAATTGTATAAGCTTTAAATAAAAAACAGCATGAATCCCTTTTTTATCCCCTACCATTCCTTTTTACAAGGCATCATTTAATAATAGATAGATATTGCACCACTTCAGAACAATAATCTTCCTGTCCTGTATTAAGGCCTTTCAGATTGTGTCTGCCCTGGTAACAAAACATGTATACTGATAGTGACTGCTAACTGGCATAACTTTGTGCCACACCATTCTATCTGACCTGCTTAGAGGAGTCAAATATTAACAAATAATTATCCCTGTAATTTATGTTTATTCAATCCAGAAAAGACATTGCATGTTGTCTCTTGACATGCTTTAGTAGTGTACAGCCTACTGGCCAGAGGCAGATGTTTAAGCAACTAGTTGTAAAACAAGAAGAATGAATAATACCAGTAAAAGCTCAGGTCCACAGTCTCTGAGCCGTAATTCATAAATCAAAAAATCTTTGAAAATCAAAGGTTTTTTGTAAGTCATTTGGTGGTAAAACCTGTCCTGGCATGTACAAATTTAGAAGGAAAATCTGACTTGAATCACCTAAGTCTATTGTGAGTTTTTATTTATCCTACTTAGTGTGAATATTCATATCTTTTGCTGTAAAAATTTGTTTTTTTTTTTTTTAAGAAGGAGCTGTTGTAGACTCTGATATAAGTGTTAACATAATATACAGTATATGTACTGTATGACCTTTGCAAAATTAGAAAACTTTGAATTTTAAAATGTATCTGGATCCAAGGATTGTATGTAAGGGATTGTGAACCATTCTGATAGACATTTAGATTATTTCCTCTTTTGATCTTCAAAAAATGCTTCTGAGAGTTATCATGTAGACATGTCATTTCACATATGTAGAAGTAGGTTGTTGTTAGTCGCCATCGAGTTGATTCTAATTCATGGTGACCCCATGTGTGCAGAGTGTGAGAAATAATATTAGAAGTACAATTTCTAGATCAAAGGACACAGGTGTTTGTAATTATGTAAGATATTGCCAAATTTTAAGACAGTTTCAAGCTTGATTTTTTTCTTGTTTGTTTTAAACAAAGCATCTTGTTAGGCCATTTAGGCCCGGAAGAATAGATGCATCAGTGTCACATGGGCTTTTTCAGAATACACATGAATAGTGAGGTTTGAAATCAGAAAGTTTGAGTTTTCTGACTGTTCTTTTTCAAGATTGTTTTGGCTATTCTGGATCCCATGTGTCTTAGTTATCTAGTGCTGCTATAATAGAAACACCACAAATGGGTTGCTTTAACAAACAGAAGTTTCTCTTCTCACAGTTTAGGAGGCTAGACCACCATTTGTCTGTCAGTTTGTCATACTGTGGTGGCTTGTGTATTGCTGTGATGCTGGAAGCTATGCCACCATTATTTCACATACCAGCAGGATTACCATGGTGGACAGGTTTCTGCAGAGCTTCCAGACTAAGACAGATTAGGAAGAAGGACCTGGCGATCTGCTTCTAAAAAAATTGACCAGTGAAAATGTTATGAATAGCAGCGGAACATTGTCTGATTTAGTGCCAGAAGATGAGCCCTTCAGGTTGGAAGTCACTCAGAATACTACTGGGGAACAGCTGCCTCCTCAAAGTAGAGTTGACCTTAATGATAGGGATGGAGTAAAGCTTTCAGAACCTTCATTTGCTGATGTGGCATGACTCAAAATGAGAAAATACAGCCAGAAACATCTGTTAATAATCAAGACATGGAATGCACGAAGTATGTATCTAGGAAAATTGGAAGTTGACTATTCAAATTTACACACCAATTACTAATGTCAAAGATGAAGAAATTGAAAATTTTTGCCAACTTCTGCAGTCTGAAATCAAACAAACATGCAATCAAGATGCATTGATAATTACTGATGATTGAAACGTGACAGTTGGAAGCAAAGAAGGATTGGTAGTTGGAAAATATGGCCTTGGTGATAGAAATGATGCCCAAGGTTGCATGATAGAATTTTGTAAGACCAACAAGTTATTCAGTGTAAAGAACTTTTTACAATAATATAAACAGCAACTGTACACTTGGACCTCAATGAATAGAATACATGGGAATCAAATCAACTACATCTGTGGAAAGAGATGATGGAGAAGCTCAATATTATCAGTCAAAACAAGGCTAGGGGCTGACTGTGGAACAGACCATCAATTGCTCACGTGCAAGTTCAAGTTGAAGCTGAAGAAAATTAAAAGAAGTCCACGAGAGCCAAAGTACGACCTTGAGTATATCCCACCTGAATTTAGAGACCATCTCAAGAATAGACTTGATGCATTGAGCACTAATGACCAAACACCACATGAGTTGAGGGATGACATCAAGGACATCACACATGAATAAAGTAAAAGGTCATTAAAAGATGAGAAAGAAAGAAAAGACCAAAGTGGGTGTCAGAAGAGACTCTGAAACTTGCTCATGAACATAGAGTAGCTAAAGTGAATGGAAGATACGATGAAGTAAAAGAGCTGAACAAAGATTTCAAAGGGTGGCTCAATAAGACAAAGTAAAGTATTACAGTGCAAAGACCTGGAGTTAGAAAACCAAAAGAGAAGAACATGCTTAGTATTTCTCAAGCTGAAAGAACTGAAGAAAAAGGTTAATCCTGTAGTTGCAATATTGAAGGATTCTATGGGGAAAATATTAAACGACACAGGAAGCATCAAAAGAAGATGGAAGGAATGCATAGAGTCACTGTACCAGAAAGAACTGGTCAATGTTCAGCCATTTTAAGAGGTAGCATATGATCAAGAACTGATGGTACTGAAGGAAGAAGTCCAAGCTGCACTGAAGGCATTGGTGAAAAACAAGGCTTCAGGAATTGATGGAATACCAGTTGAGATGTTTCATCAAATGCATGTAATACTTGAAGTCCTCACCTGTCTATACTAAGAAATTTGGAAGGCAGCTATATTTGGCCAACTGACTGGAAGAGATCCATAGTTGTGTAGAAATTATCAAACAGTATCATTAATATCACACAAGTAAAATTTTGCTGAAGATAATTCAAAAACAGTTGCAGCAGTACATCGACAGGGAACTGCCAGAAATTCAAGCCATATTAAGAAGAAGATGAACAAGGGATATTGCTGATGTCAGATGGATCCTGGTTGAAAGCAGAGTATATCAGAAAGATACTTACCTGTGTTTTATTGAGTATACAAAGGCATTCAACTATGTGGATCATAACAAATTTTGGATAACATTGCGAAGAATAGGAATTCAAGAACACTTAATTGTGCTCTTGCAGAACTGGTATACAGTCATATACAGACCAAGAGGCAGTTGTTTGAGTAGAACAATGGGATACTGTGTAGTTTAAGATCAGAAAGGTGTGCATCAAGGTTGTATCCTTTCAGACACTTATTCAGTCTGTATGCTTAGTAAATAATCCAAGAAGCTGGACTATATGAAGAAGATTCTTTAGGGTTTTATATTTACAAGATGATGTCATCTCTAAACAGAGATAATTTTACTTCTTTTTTCCCAATCTGAACACCTTTATTTCTTTGTCTTCCCTAATTTCCCTGGCTAGAATCTCTAGTACAATATTGAATAGAATTAGCAAGAGCAGATGGCCTTGTCTTATTCCTTATTTTAGGGGAAAATTATTAGGACTTTTACTATTAAGTATGATGTTGGTTGTCAGTTTTTAATAAATGACCTTTATCAGTTTTAAGAAGTTTTTTTCCATTCTTAATTTCTTCGATGTTTTTATCATGAAAGGGCATTGGGTTTTGTCTACTGCTTTTTCTGTGTCTGTTGAGATAATCATGTGAGTTTTGTCTTTTAGTCTATTCATATGGTATATTAGATTATTTGATTTTCAGATGTTGAACTGACATTGCATTTCTGGGGTAAATCACACTTGGTCATGATGTATAATTCTTTTTATATGTTGCTGGATTGTTTTTGTTAGTATTTTCCTGATGATTTTTGTGTCTATATTCATAGAAGATATTGGTCTGTAGTTGTCTTTTTAGGATGTCTTTCTCTGGCTGTGGTATCAGAAAAATACTGGTCTCATAGAATCAGTTAGAAATTGTTCCCTTTCCCCATATTTCGTGTTTACCTTGGACTGCCAGAAGAACGAACAAATCTGTCTTGGAAGAAGTACAGCCAGAATGTTCCTTA